GATGAAGAAGATGCGACTCCTGGGCTGGGAGTTGGAGTAACAGGACTTGGGGGGCCCTCTGGCACACGACTCGGACTACCAGGGTGTGGTGGAGGACAAAGGGAGGCAGAGGACGATGAAGAAGAAGAGGAGGTTGTAGTAGTAGCAGAAAGTCCTAACTTTGGAGAGGCCATGGTTGTACTTCTAGAGGATGGGATTAGGGCACTTGAAGATGACGTAGGATTGCAGTCAAACAGTCGAAGGGCAGGTGGATGTTTAGCCTTGTAAGGGGGAGAAGAGTTACTGAATTTAGGAGAGAGGGAGGGCTGTGGGTCTTTGAGAGGCTGGTGGGAGGGTTGGCTTGTTGAGCAGGATGGCAGTGGACCCTCAGTGGGTAGAGAGGGGGTCTGAGAGCCCTTGAGAGATGAACGAAGTGCAAGGGGCAACTGGGAGCTTTGAAGAGAGGTGGATGGAGAGCACAAGGGAGAATCCAGGATAAGTGGAAAGGGTTGTGACTTCAATGCCAAGTTGTCATCTAGGGAAATTAAAAGGACAAATCTGAATGTGTTATAATGTATTTTAATGTAATCATCCTTTAAATCTGTTAAATAGTCATGGTTTTCAAGATGGACTACAATCTTTTTGGTGACATAGCTTTTTTTTGTATTTAAGTAAAAGTCTACATTTTAGGGCACTTACAGGGGGGGATACAACTTACAAGAGCAAGCAAGGACAAGTGAAGGGTGTCATTAGATGTCTTTGAATTTCCACCACCGAATCATCCACCACTGCTTTCTTTACTTCTTTGGCCTATCTATCCTCATCAACCGAGACCTCCCCACTGCCTTCGCTTCGCCACACACATAAATCGGACATTTCATGCATGCAGGCACACATGCTAACATACACACAGATTCCACTATTCTGCAAGAATAAACTGCTCACCCGTTTATAAGTCCACCTTGTTTCCAGGGCAACATGCACAAGATAATGGACTTTACCTCAGCCCCCATCCCAATAAAAGAAGCAACATTAACTCACTGAGACACTCTTCCATCACTGCACTCTTTCTTTCTCTCTTTCTCCTGTCTCCTTTCATTCAATCTGTCTTTCTTTCATCTCCTTAAGAGCCCTTCCCCCATAGCCCAATAGGGGTGCTAAGGGTTATGTCCTGCCTGGGTACTGGAACTGTAGTGGGTGCCTCACTGGCTGGCAAACCTGACCTTAAACACCCTGAGGTCACATTCCTGATATGGTTTAGGGCCAGGCAGAGGAAGAAAGGTGTCACACAAACAAAACAAACAGCCCTGAAGACACACGTGACTCATACACCATCAAAAGCTAACTTAGGCCATAAAAGTATAGTGAGACAAGGACCCAAGCATATACACATAGCATATCTGTCAATGCACAGGACAGAGACATGAAAAATCTAATTATTAGTATGCACCAGGTTTCTCTTACACACAAACACATTTAGAACTATTGCTATTTCCTTGAAAGCTACAGATTTTATGACACAATGTGGGCCCTTTTCTGTAACTGGAGTGACCAGACACAGACAAATACACACAAGCGCGTACACACACACACAAACCCTGTCACATACACACTTCTTCATGTTCAAGCTTCAGTGCCCAGCAACAAAGCTCAAAGGGGACAATACGATCTAATGCTATTGCAGTAAGAACATCTTATATAGTGCCTCACAAAGTTTCCTTTTTCTTGACCACCACAAGCTCATCTTTTAGCCTAAGCAGAATTAGCATCTTGTTTTTTGTAACACATTTTCAAATTCCTTAAACTTCCTTTTTACAGATGTTTTTTCTTTTTTCTTGGGGGGTTACTCTGTATCCCCCTATTCTGGGTGGTCTGTGTCTTTGAACCTGGCAGTGATGAGCATTGAAGACATTTGGGTTTTACGGGCAAAGAAAGCTGCTAATGGCTGCCAACACAGAAGATGAATAAAAATCTCCGCAGGCCAATAATGCAAAGATTTCTTCTTCTTCGAGGGTACATAATATGCACCAGAGAATGTCTACTTTTAATTTTTTTTAATTTTTTTAATGCAAATTAATTAAACAGATTGAACCGTTTAATTGCCCAGGCAAGATACCATTTATGGTTGATGGTTGAGAGACATAATAATAACCTCTTCATAAACATGACTCCCATATGAGGTAGGACAAGTGCTTAGGTCAAAAGTGTAATGTAATAGATATACATAATACTAACACTATCACCTATCAATTGGCATATAGGAAAAAGTATTATATTAGATTCAAATAAACCATCCAATGTGAATCCAAACTTTACTGAAAGGACAGTATTCTTTTAATAATAGTCTCACCATGCTCAAGTATCCGACTGGCACCGAGGGTCAGGCTCATAAGCTGCTGGGGTCGTTTCTGTTTCCGACGGGACATGCTTCTGCAGGATGGGACCGACGAGGTTGCGCATTGGCCAACAGACAACTTTTATTCTGTCTCCCTGCACACTGGAAAAAGTTGGTGTCTAGATTACTAAGAGGTAGAGAAAAAATAGAGAAAAACTAAAAGTACTATTTCCAAAATTGTTACAATATGCTCCGGGCTGATTCGTCTCAACAAAGCTTATCCACGTTGGTGGCATTGTGGCGTAGAGAAAGAAAAACAGAGCTAAAGTGCCATGTGACAGTTTCCCTCGACAGTTCTCCCTTTTCTCAAAACTCACCGTTGGCCCTCCTTCCTTACAAACACACACACACACACACACACACACACACACACACACACACACACACACACACACACACACACACACACAGCTCACTTGTTCATCTACTACTTTGCATTCAAATGGCGAGTGAACACCCCTTCTTTTGAGCCAAGAGTCCACTGCCTCTCTTTAGTAAACCCTCATAAATTGACGCCCAGTTCATCGCATTATGGCCCCTTCCTCAGCTTTCGTGCCCTGATTACGATCCTGTAAATCTAAACATCACGGTGTGTCTCGTCTTGTGCATAATGTATGAAAACTGTGCGCACAGGTGGCCGCAAAGCCATCTCCAGCTCCAATTTTTGCATATTCAAACTAAATTTTGTCACAGTACACCTTATAGCAAATGCGCGCGCACACACCTCTTGGAGGTGTAAGGTTTGTGTGAGCTCGCTGGATGCTCCAGTCGCCTCTAAAACAGGCTCCTGTGTCAACTCAGTAAACAGAGCGGCTGAAATGAGGTGGAATTTGCAACAATGGCGTTGAGGGAGCACAGCTGAGTGAGCATCACCCTCTCAGAGCCTCTCCAGCACATAAGGCCACTGACTGGATGCACAATGCTCCCTATTCACCCTCATCCCGACTGCTTACCACGTGGAGAGAGGTAGTGAAAGAAACACACATGCAGTGTGATGAAGAAAATCATTTTTCACCCGGGCCCTGTGACACCCACCACCTCATCGACACCGCCACCCTCTTTACGTCTCACTGAGACTTGAATGGAATAACAAAGGCATCTGATGCTTTATGTAAAGTCTGATTGTAGGCTCATAGGTCGTCACGAGGCATTTGAAATAGCCTAAGAATTGATTTGTGTATAAACCATTTAAAACAGATCTTCCATTGTCAGACACGATAAGTAGCCTAATATTCATTATAAGCCTATAATAGACAGTTTAAGGCCGGACTTGTATAAATTCTGTAGGAAGATATGGTGCCTTTTACTATATTATCGGCAGTGATTTTCGACCAAAATTAAAAGATAAAAACATTAATTAATTACGTTGAAAACACGCACGTAATTGCATGATCGACCATTTTTTGTCAAAGAGAAAGTAGAAGATACTCTAATATCGCCGTAGTAATCAAACAGTCGAAAGAGAAAATGTCTTTTTTTTCCAAAGAAGGCTCCTCTATTGTGCCAACAACGCATTCGTATTTTCCGTGCCATCTTGCCGATATGTTCGCGTACACGACGGTGATACGCTATAAACGCCAATGTTTGGAAACAAGCGCAAAATACGGCGGTGAGATGCGCGTCCCCGCTACTGTACGGCGACCTGTTGCACGCCACGCGCGCTCCCCATCATAACAAGTTATGATTCATAAAAAAATATGACTTCTCCGAAAATACAGCCCCGGATGTGCATTTCCCCCACAGGCCGCTCGTCGCCGACACAACCCCGTTAAAAATTGCAGAAAACAACTTACCATGTTTGAAACGATGGTTTTTGGCAGCGATTTGTGTAAGAACAAGAGGGGAAAAGCTCAGGAGCTTATGTTGGGTCAGATCGGCTCCGTCTCTCAGCCGGGACACTGGCGCAGCGTTTCCCTATTCACTCCCAGTGATGCGCAGTCGGACAGCCGCATTTTTTTCAATTATTTATCTCCGTCGCAAATCGCGTTACTTTCTCATATGACAAAGGGTTATTATGCCTGAATGTATTTACTCATAGTCCTCTGGCAGCAGGAGAAGCGGGGCGGTGCACAGAGCTGTACTACTCGATACAGGGGGAGGATTATTTTTTTGGCCGTGCGTGCTGCTGCTCTTCCTCCTCTCTTTGTATTAGTCGGGGCCTGCTCCTGTCAGGCCTGTCTGCGCTCTCTGCGGTACTGTCTGTCTGTCCGTCTGTCCTGTGAGCTGGCTACCTGTCTGTCTGCCTGTCTCTTATAATTAATGGCCCTCGCCGCCAGACGGTCCTCAGGGAAACAGTGACCACGGTTACCTCCACATTGGCTCTCAGTGTGCATCTCACACAGGAGTGCAGGCCCGGACACATACGCACGCACACACGCACACACACACTCTCACAAACACGCACTCACTCACACACACGCTAGCACGCACACATTCCTCTTAAGCAGGTCTGGAGGAAAAGAGGGTCATTAAGGAATTGAAGATATGCACAGGTGTGTATCAACCCCCCTCCCACCACCATAACCCTGTCAAATGAAATCATAATTAATAATTGACAATTTTTCAATAAAATCATATTTATTGACAATAACAGTTTTTTAAAGTCATAAGTAGGATTAGAGCAATGTTTAATAAATATGTAAATAATAATTAAAAACAAGCAGCACATAATGCACAAATGTATTAATCATAGGCCTAACATATACAGGCACAGAAAAATAATCATATAGACACTTATCCTACTAAAAAAACTTCACCATTTCATTAAAAAAATGTAAAGCTAACCTGTGAGACTGAAGTTAAAGATACATGTTTGGAACCTAATGCTAATATCAACAGCAGGATACAATCAGAGGATCAACTAATACCTGAGGTTCATCCTCTGGGGATCATGACCGACTGGGCCAATTACAGTGTCATGATGTTAATTACTATTCTACCAGTCTCGATCAACAGAGTTGGGCCCACTTTCAGTCTGTTAGAATCTTGTGCTTAAAGGTCAACGCATCTTTCCCATCCTAAATCCTATTGGTTCAACCGTTATTTTGGCAAGTCTGTGGACAGGTATTACCTGTGTGAAGTTTGGTCATCAGTAAACAAGAATAGCTCTAATCCCCTGATTTATTTCAGATTTAAATAATCCTTTAGTAATCCTTGCTGAATGTACAATAGCAAGAAACATCGCTAAACAACAAGAATAAATCTATAATTTAAAAAAACACTGCACTATAAAGGCTGTAACTGATCATTTCAGCAGATCATATCTAACACTGGTTGAATTAAATATGATAAGACCTTTGAGCAGTGATCATTCATTCACGTTTGGTTGTTCAATTAGCTGAAATATTTATAACTTTAAAGGCCTGTCATTCTCTATAATGGGTTTAACCAAATCACTGCCCTCATCCCCCCTCTGCTGTTTACTGGTGTACACTGTAAGAGGCTGAAACACCATATGTGACACTTATTTTGTGCAGGGGCAGTAGGTCGGGAGTATGCAGCATGACAGGAGCTCAGCAGATAATCACTTTATCCGCTCCTGAGGCTGCTGTAGCAGGACAGGCACTTTGGTATACACTCTGTTCCTTTGGGTACATTTTAGCTATTTATCTTTTGCCATATTTGGACACATTTTCTTATCAACTAACAACCATCTCTACTGGCATGCATGTTTCTACATTTGCTTTGGTTCATGTCATACATCTGTTACGCCACTAGGTGTCTCTCTAAGACAAAAATTGTAATTGAATGTAATTTTACTTCACTTTGTTTTACATGCAGAATAAATTCATTAATCTCTGACCTCTTATTATATAGAGGGAGACACTGAAATGTTGAGTCGTCAAACGTGTGCAGAAATAGGATATATGAGCAGTTTGTGTTTTCTCAGAATTTCTTTCTGCTGACTTTATCTTTTAAATCTGAGAGGTAGGCCTTGATCTTAAGAATTGACATGTCTAGTTTGTGAGGTCATTTAGAAATTCAAAGCAGTTGGGCGTAACATGGGAGGAAAAACAGATGACTACATGGAATGTGATTCAAAACCCCTCTTAGAAGCAGTTCCCTTAACAAACCAATCACTTAATCAATTATGAAGCCGTCTCTGCCCGAGAAGAGTCCTGAAATCCCTTTATCTTCATCAGAGCTATTTTGAGGCAGGGAAATGCTTCAACTGTGTCCCTAATGTCCTTTCTGATGAATATATAGAGTAAAGCGTCTATCAAAGGGCTGAGAAAGACCAGAGCACTGGTCACAACACTGGACAAATCCCTAACTAAGTCCTCTGCATCCGAGCCATTGTCACCTTTAAGAGAGTAATACAGATTCCTGAAACTGAAGGGGAAAAACAAAACAGTGTATGTCCCCAACACCAGACCCAGAACCCCCAAAACTCTCCTCCTGTTCTTTGTTCCGTGTCTCATGGCCATGCTCTTGTTGAGGGCTTTGTATGTGGCGATGAAGAGACCCAGAAGAAATGGAGCAGGCAGCAGGCAGACGATGGAGAACAGCAACAAGAGGGATCTGGTGTCGCTCGTTAAGAAATACTGCAAAGTGCAGTAGGCTAGTGAAAAGACCCACATGCCAACTGAGATCAGGATGGATATCTTTGCTCTGTTCTTTGTGTGGTACCACACAGGCCATGCCACCATTACATACCTCTCTGCAGAAATCAGCAGCATGAAACCCAGACTGGAGGTGAGGCCAAAGTAGACAAAGTGTCGTGTGATGCAGCGGGCACTGTGGAAGGGGTAGAAGGTGGGATCAAAAAACCTGCTTATGATGAAGACAACTGTGATCCCGATCTGAAGGAGATCTGACAGGAGCAGGTTCAGCGCGAAGATCGGAGCAAATTTGTCCTTCTTGAGTAGAAACAGGAGAGCGTAGAAGGCCAGGCAGACTTCAGGAAGTCCTATGAGGAATATCACCCAGTCCACTGTGATACCGATTCTATTTGTGTAATAGACGGGGTCTTCACAGAGAAAAGAAGCATTTTCATGTTCCCCAGTCATCTTGCTGCTGTTATTCAGTTGTAGATTATTGACTTTGAAGCTTTAAGATATGAACGTTTTCATTTGTAGGTGTTTTTTTTCATGCATTCCACTGATGGTAAGAGATGATTGAAGACAACAGCCGAGATCGTGATGGAGCTGTGCTCATCAGACGGTATCTCTTCCTAAATCCTATGACACATAAACAAACACACAAACCAGTAAGCCAAAACCAAATGCACAAAATATACTTAATTGAAACACTTAAGAACACTACAAAAATTAATATGAACATAAAAATGTGCTTTAAAGTTTAATAGCTGCATCATTAAATTAGTTAAATGTATACTTTAACACAAAAAGAAAGAAAGATAGAGGTTATTTCTTCAATGGAACGACTTACCTTTTCCTCTTACTTTAATGTGTCATTCTGACCAACAGCATATTACCACCCCTGTTTCCTGTAAGAGCAGTGATGTTATTCGAGCAGTCTGTGGTTTTATGTGACCTTTGATCAACCCATTCAAGGGAGGAATAGGATGAAATATGCAAACTGTATCTTTATTGGACAATATGACAAAATGAATATTGTGGGGGAGGTCAAGTCACTTATTGTCTACTTTAAAGTTTTGGTGAAAAAGTTCTGAAAGTATAGCCTTTCTTTCAGAATTATATTGAATTAGCCCTCATTTGTTTTGTGTTGAACAGACAATGAAAGACAGGAAATGACACTCTTTTCCAGGCTTATAATATTCAAAACCAGGCAAAACAGGCGCGCGTGATGCAGCAGCATTTTACTAAGCACATGTATTCAAAACACAAAAAATAAACTTGTAATCACACAAATATTTACACACCCAAATACAGCACAATACATTGAAGTGCAACTGTCACTTTAACAACAGCTTTTCCACTTGTCCAGTGTAAGGCTTTGCATGGTGAATGTGAAAAAAGTAACTTTGAAAGGCAATCGTTAGTATGGATGAAGCAGCAAAACATTTAAGAGTACAGAAACAAGCAATGTCTTTATTGTTTATGATTCACAGTTCATTGGTCAGAGGAGGAAGGTGATTTCTTCTTTTTGACAAAGTTACAAAAATCTTACTGAAAACATGCAGATGAAGGTAGGCCTACATTTAAATCTTCATCTCACTTTGATATCGAAAACGTCCATTTTCAAAATCAAGAAAAGTGTAAAAAAAATCTTTGCTGGAGATTTTTAGATTAGCTTAGTTTAGCATAAAGACTGTAAGCAGGTAAAACAGCCTTAACTAAGTAATCTTTTGTTGTTTGTTATACATGTAGAAGTCTTAAGTGTAAAAATGGAGTTATGCACAGAAATATTTCATGCTAGGTTGAATGTTGTTACTGCTGGATGTTTCCTCTTTGCTTGTTCTCTTTTTTCTTTTTAGAAAAGCTAAACGACTCATACACATGGTCATATATTCCACTTTATTACACTATAAGTTACAACTTCTGTATATGTATAAACTTGATCATCACTATATACGAATTGTGCAGATATTACCTGATGTCTGTTTGAATGTAAGTTACCCCTGAGCATGAAATAATAATAAAAAATAATAATAATGAAGCCGTCTCTTCCCGAGAAGAGTCCTGAAATCCCTTTATCTTCATCAGAGCTGTTTTGAGGCAGGGAAATGCTTCAACTGTGTCCCTAATGTCCTTTCTGATGAATATATAGAGTATAATAATCTCACTAATGATAAAAAATAATAATAATTTAAAGTAGGCTATGTCTTCTAAATATATTTAAAAAAAAAACAACTAAAGGACAACTTTGTATTAACTGAATGGCCTGAGAGTCATATTAAAGTACTCATGAGAGAGTTTTCATAAATGTCTTCAAGATTGATCAGATCTTTACAGCTATCACTAAAAAGGCTAATGCTAGCTAGGACATACTATCATTATCTGTTTGTGCTTAACAGTAACCAATGTTTCTTTTTCTTATCAATCAGAAAGCTGTTCATGGTAACACTTTGTGACTCTTATACCACGATCAACCTTGAACACTATCGTATTGACAACAGTATTTCATTAATCCTGAGACTGGTGTCAGGTGGAACTCTCAACTCACTGTATTTTACGTTTTATTTAAGTTCTTTATTTAGTAGAATTTCACAATGATTAATGATTTGCTAACATTTTATAATGAGAGGTTTCTATCTGAACCCCTTCATCGACCACCATGACCGCCTTCTGTGAGGTTGGACTATACCTGTTCATCGTGTCCGACAAGGCCATTAACAGCATGCTGATGAAAACATCCGTTGTTCCAATTTCTGCAGCAAAGATTCACAGAGTGATACATTTGACTGTGAAAAGAGATCAGGATGAGAGTTTACATCAGAAAATACAGCCTCAGGAGCGCCAATAGCTCAGTGGTTAGTGTGTGCGCCCCATGTAAAGAGTCTTTGAGTCCTTGAAGGCAAGCGGTCTGTGTTTGAGTCCGACCTCGGGCTCCTTTCCTGCATGTCATTCCCCATTTTCTCTCTCTCCCCCTAATTTGCCGACTCTATCCACCATCCTGTCTCTAAATAAAGGCTTACTAAAAAAGAAGAGAATACTAATTAAGCCAGTTCAGGACTTAATCAGTGAAAGAGACAAGAGATACTGCTTTGTCAAAAGGGGTCAACAATATTGACAACAAATAAAAGTTCTTCACAGGAGCTTTCAAAAGTTCCAGCTGCACATGCAGAATATATTTCAGACTGATGGACTGTGAGCTGACATCAGGGTGTACCAATAGTAGTTTCTTAAAATAAACAAGACCCTTTAAATGCTGAGGATCATGATTGTGATATTAGTTGACAGTTTACTTTCAAGTTGCACAATGATTCCCCCTCCCCTCTCATCTCAGGATCATGTGACCACCTTGAATCCTGTGTGAAGTTTCAAGCAGAGGCTGATCTGTTGGGATTAGCCTCCACAGCCAGCACGTTGAGCGCTCACAACACACACGATCACCGATGGCCACAGTCTGCAAACACAAGGACACCTACAGGTAAGAAATAAACACTCAATGTTTCTGTTAGATCGAGTCAAAATTCTCTTCTAAATCAGTTGAGCTGAGCACATTTGAGTTTGAGGTTAAACATGTAAAAGCAGAGCACATGTAGACTTAATCAGGCCAACAAGCTGTCAAGGATGATCTCCTGATCCCCTATGCTTGGGTTCGATTCAAGTTGACGTTCATCTAGGGTCAGTGTTACAGCCGTTTACATTGTCTGTGATAAACGGACAGTCATACTTAAATGTATATGTATTTTATATTCTAAGGACATAAATATGTATGGTCAAATGTCATTGAATGAGCTGACTTTACACAAGATAACATGTACATTTATCATGACTCAGCTCTTTTGGGTAAATGTTTTTTGTGGCCTATTTGCCATTTTTATGTTTTTGAGGTGTGTCTGTAACTTTTGTCCACCCTCAGTACATTTCTTAGTAGCACTGGTTATATAGTTAAGTGTTCTATAAATAGAGCCCAGTAGGCGAAAGCCCGGTATACAGGATTACTGGTCTGAGCGCACAGTTGGAGTGAAACAAGGACTTCACACTTGCCACCACCTCAAAACCAGCTGTCTCTTAATTCTCATCAGCATTAGTTCTTCTTCCATGCAACAGCAGCATATGTCCTGTGCAAATGTTGCCTTTCATTCGGCGTTTCACAGCCCACAGTGGGATGTCTGGTTTAGTTTATTTTGTTTCACACATTGATAGAAGAAAATATGAAGGCCTGTGTGGGTGTGATAGAAGCCTGTAAACGGCTTCGATAAAAACCTCACACAGAAGACATACAAGGTAATACACAAATGAAGAATCACCCTAAAAATTTGATTTGTCTGTGTCAAACAATATTAGGCTTGATTTTTTTTAAACAATGCTTAATTATTAGTTTAAAAAAAGGCAGAAAGCAAGCGATGAAGAAAAAACAAAACATGTTATAAACAACAATTCTTTATGTGGTCACAAATGGTCACTATTGAATCTTATTGACAGAAAAACTTGTTGTTTTTATACATTGACATGAAACTTGTGTGTGTTTAAAATAAGGATTTCAATCTTAAATATCAATCTCTGTGATATGATGTCTGGTTAGTTTTTTAAGCCATATTTGACTGCAATCAAAGCCATTGTAAGTTTGAATTGTATGCTCTTTAATGAATGTGTTTCTGATCACACTGTTGTGTATAACTCAACTGTTAGCATCCTTGTGTGACACACACACAACAAACTACAGCCGTCTTCTGTTCATTATGGCGTCCGGCGAGGAAGAGCTGACCTGCTCCGTGTGCCGAGACATCTTCAGCCAAACCCACCCGCTGCCCTGCGGTCACAGCTTCTGCCCCACCTGCATCCGGGAGGCCTGGAGCGCCCAGGACGAGGAGAGAACCCACTTCACCTGCCCGCAGTGTCAGGAGGAGCACGGCGAGGTGCACTGCGACTGCTGCCCTTCTGATACAGAGGAAGAACAAAAACAGTTAGCCGTCAAGACCTGCCTGAGGTGTGAAGTGTCGTTGTGCGCCCAACACCTCCAACCCCATCTGGAGAGGCCGGCGTTTAGCACCCACCTGTTGGTGGATCCGCTGATGGACCTCTCCCAGCGACGATGTCAAACACACACAGAAATACTGCGCTACTACTGTGCCGATGAAAGAGTGTACGTGTGTGGAGACTGTCTCCTGGAGGGGGGCCACGCTCAGCACAAAGTGAAGGCGCTGAGACAGGTGGAGGAGGATCTGAAGGTCAGCTGGACGACTTCACAAACTGGGTTTCTCTGTTTGTGTGTGTCTGGTTTTTTCATGTGTGTTTCTCTGCAGGTCATTCTCCAAACACTGCTCAGAAAATCAGAGGAGAAGCTGAAGGAAGGGGAGCAGATCCTGAAAGAGCACGGGGATATGGATACCACCATGACCGTGAGTAAAACATGTAAAACTGCAGGGAACATAGGATCAGACTCAGTATTAAAATCAGCTGTAACGGCCGAGTGTGTGTACAGTAACATACTTTTCAATGTACAGACAGATGTCACGCGTGCCATGTACAAAGGCTTTAGTGCTCGGCGCAGTGGCCTCGGGTTCAAATCTGAACATCGGCCCTTTGCTGCATGCCATGCAGAAATAAATTGATCACATTCAGTGATGCTATTCTACTCAATTTACAGAGAGTAAAATGTGAACACAGGCACCAGTGAGCTCTAATATAACATTTGGGGGCCAGAGGGTCACCAGTTCAAGTCCTGGTAGTGGACCAAAGCATGGAAGTTGGTCTGGTACCTGGAGATGTTCCCGGTCACTTCCTGAGCACTGCCGAGGTGCCGTTGAGCAAGGCACCGAACCCCCAACTGCTCGGGCGCTCTTTCATGTGCACCCCCCCAACTCTGACATCTCTTACGTTAGTGCATGTCCATGTGTGTAATAACAGAGTGTGAAAGTAATTTCCCCTTGTGGGATACATAAAGTAAAATAAAACAAATAAAACAACACATAAAATATGACATAAGATCTAAAAGGAATGCTGATGTTTGTCATTGTCAGAAATGTAAAACCAAAGGAGCATTTAGTCATTTTTATGCAGGGAGAGATGGACGATTTTAAACAGCATTTAGTTTGACAAACAGGTCGACGTCATGGTAGCAACAGAGAAAATTCACTGGAGAGCATGTTTCTACAGGAAGCCTTCCTGAGGATCCGCTGGTTACAGATGGAATACAGATCTCTTCATTTCATCATGATCGTAGAATATTTATATGATCAAACCCTTGAGTATCCAAACAAGGAGAATGATTTTATGGTTTACAGGTATATTGGGTGTCTTTGTCTTTGGGTTGATCCTGATTCTGCATGACTGAGTTAAAATGGTCATCAGTAGAAGATGTTCTCTAAATCCTGTACTGTCTGAGGTACCACACACAAAGGATCACATTTAAATCCTTTCCTTGTCTAACCCGACGACTGGCCTTGTTCTACCCATGGTCTTTGGTTTGATTATCTCTCAATCACTGACGTGGCACCAACCAAGAACCTGTCATGTCTCTCGGTCGCTTCAGGACTCTCTGAAGCAGGACGACACACAGGTGGAGCGGCTGAGTTCAGACCTGCAGATCCAGGTGAAGAAGCTGGTGGTGGCACTGAGGGAGATCACCAAGAGGGAGAGACAGCAGGTGATAGCACGAGTGAACGAGGACTGCTCCAAGGTGAGAGAGGACATGAGCCGAGTGCTGAGCATCCAGCACTACCTGTCCTCCTGCTGGCAGAGCCCGACCCCTTCCTGCTCATCTGGGTAAGACTCAGTGCTGGACAGACACTCTGATTCACATCACCAGATCTGTTTTGGAGAAGGTCATGAAAATGATCATAATTATGAACATAGGAATAAAGATGTTAACAGCTTAGTTCAAGACTTATTTATGATTAAAAGGTGTGGCTGATCTGACTGACCTGAGGGCGCAGGGTAGATTTTTGTCAGGAGGCCCCGCCTCAGCTCCAGCTCTTTGCCTGTTGTAAGATTGACCAAGCGATACAGAAGGTTGAGACCAAGCGGCAAAAATGAAGCAAATGCAGAAGTGCAAAATCCCGCAGGTTGTCAAGAGTCCGCTTGAGGCTGGCTCCAGGAACACTGGAGGTCACATACACATGACTGGCAAAAAAGCCATTTTTACAGCAGAAATAAACATTTTTAAAGCCTGGTACAAAAAACAAAATAGGTCTGTTTGTCCGTTTTGATTTTGAAAACAATACATGTTTTCCATAGTTAGGTGCGTAGCTGACATGATTGACAGGTGGGCGCAATGTGACGGTTTGTCATAAGGCCTAAAACCCGCCTCAGATTCAACTCTAAGCCTGTTGTTAGGTTGACTGAAAGTTAGGCTGAGACAGGATTTCCAGCATGGAGGCTGCTGCCGATGAGCCCCCTGCCTGTAACAGACGTGTGATGTCACTCAGGCTTTGCCCATTAATATTTACAGTCTTTGGTTGAGACAACATTTTCAATATGACAACTGCCGGATGGGCTGCAAGCGCCCCCTATAGTAACCAATGAGTGACGTCACAGAGGCTTCAACCAGGTTTATCTAGAGTCTATAATTGTAATTATTTGATTGTTTTGGTCAAGGTTCCACTTTTTTTTCCACGATTTTATTACCCAAGACATCCCATCAGCCTCAGCTGTACTGTGTTAAGTTCTTATTTAACTTCATGCTAACAAGCTCAACTGCACACGCTAAACAATCCCGGCAAACATTAGTGTTGGTATTAAACTACCGTTGGCCTGACCATATAAGGTCTGACCTGTCACCTGTTAGTAATCATGTTTCATTATTTAAAATAAAAACTTAGATGTTGTTTTCTCATTGCTGAGGTTTGTAAGCTGACAAATGATGTATTATATGCTCAACACTATGCTAATGTTTATGCAAAACATTAACCTGCTTGCTTTATTAAAGGGTGAGAAATTGTCTGAAATATTTGGAATTGTACTCCATAGAAGAGTCTGGCGTCAAAGCGTTGAGGTTATAAGTACTAAAACAGTCCGAGCTAGTAAGCAGAGCGATAACATTGTTATTGGTCGAGCAGTTTTCTTTTACTGAAAGTACTGAAAGAAAGTTACTGAATTTCATTTCATCTTTAAAACAGGTTTAGAGGACAAAGTGTCACTTGGATCTGTTATTGATGGTTTTTTTTTAAATCTTTGACAACAGGTTAAAAATCGAGCCTGATAGCGTCATCTTTATGAATGAGTTCCTACAAGAGCCATGTCTCATTAAAAAAAACTGACCTAACAAAAATCTCTTCCCAGTTTTTAGTTTAAAAGGAGAGCGGATGTTACTTAGAAAAAAAGTTATTTGGAGAGTAATGGTCCAAAAGAATCTTCATTTTTCCACCTGAGTATTTTTATTATCTTTTCATGGTTGAAAATAAATTAAATAGCTTCGAATGATTATGCAGAAGAAATCTTTTTTTTGACATTTCTTTCATCTCAAACACAGACATGAAAATAATGCAGATCAGACTTTAGAGAAGAGACGGCCACATTCTTTCCGCTCTCCTCTCGGGGTTTCCTATATATTGAACAAGCTCATAAATTGAGGAGGAGAAATTGTACATACCCACATAATGAAATGTCCAGGGCCACAGATGTGGTTAGCTTTATGTGTGAACGAGATTAAACCTTATGTTTGTTTACTTTCATATGCAGCTCTGCACATTCAGAGGGACGTTTGTTAGACTCTCTTTGAATCGATGGCTCGATGTTGGTTTTTGTCTCAGCTGACCTTCACTCTTCTCTCCTCAGGCCTTTGAATCAGACGACACAAAGTAAGTTCAGTTTGAGTCAGTGAAGCTGTGAGACCTCATGTTAGACCTCAGGTGTCCTTACATGTTTGTGTGTGATGATATGCAGTCTTGGTGTTTATGCCTGTTGGAGATAGCAAAAATGGTCGAAGAAATCAACTAGTTCTTTACACCTGCCTTGATATGTGCTCATTCATTAAAGCAAGATAATTTCATCATGCAGTATGTGTGTTGTGTTTTTGTATTTAAGGTTACTAGAAGACCTGAACAACCCACTCTTCAGACCTGATGCCATCAGTCTAGACAGGAAACACATCTTAGAGGACATAGAGAGCAAGTACAGAGAGTTCATCACTGCCACCCTCCGCTGCCTCAGTGACCTCAAACGAGAGCTGTGTGAGTGACACAAGTCTGCCACGTTTATCTTATCCTAATGAAGGAAGGCTTTGATGTTGGGAAATACACTCTGGTTTCTTAGAGAAAGTAAGCTAAGACGATCAGTTGATTTATTGATGATCAGCCAACAGCTGTATGCCTAACATGGAGACTGAAAACAGGACAGCAATAGCCAGCCTCGCTGTGTCCAAAGTCACACACATAAACCCTGTAAAAACAAAACTGATATTCTTTGACCCATGTTTTTTTAAAAGTCAAATTAAACATGTGAGATATAACAATTGTGTGAGCTCTACAGCGAGTTTGCACTGAGCATAGCTGACCGAGTTTAGCTCACTTCCCTTCTTTTTGCAGTACTGAGAGAAAATGGCAAAAAGACAAAAATAGCGTAACTCAAACATCAATGAAATGTAGAAATTTCCCACAAGATGAAGTGCTGATGAAGTTATTATCAGCACGGTTATGAATTTGGAGATAACCACAGAGTGCTTGGTATTCCTTTTCAAATCTCATTGTTGAGTATGATATTGCTTTTGTTGAACATGGTTACAATCTGGAGATAATAGCAAGTAATGAGCAAGGAGATTTGTGTGATTTTTTTATGTTTTTAATCTTTTATTTGCCAACAACCTTCCTGACTTAAACTGGACTGTTGCCAATTAAGGCCCTCGAACGTTTTCCTGCAGATTTGCCATTTTGTGTATGTTCACATATAGCCTGCTGTATGTTTATCTCTATATTTTCATACATCATACTGCTAGTTTATTAAGAGTCTTTTGACGGTTGTTTCTTGTACCAGTATGATCAAGCTGTAAGAAGACTGTCTGCTGTCATGGTAATAAACCATGTTCAGGACGCTTGAGGTGACAAATTCTTCAGGTTAACGGTCCCTGTGATGCTGTAATCTATATAAGTCATTATGAAATGCCTCTTGTCCAATCAGATAACTTGGCTTGACCTGTTGTTATATAATCTATATTTTACTGTTTGGCTCTACTCTCCAACAGTAACCAGTCCTTTGACTCTGGACACAAACACAGCTCATCCTCTGTTGAGCATCACTGACGACCTTCGCTCTGTGACGCGGGTCAAAGGCCGTCTGCCCTGCTCTGCTCACCCCGAACGTTTCGACCACTGGCCCCAGGTCCTCACTGCCCAGACCTTCTCCTCTGGGACTCACTACTGGGAGCTGGAGGCTGAAGGATTCTGGGATATCGGCGTCTGTTATAGAAGTATTGGACGGAAGGGGAAAGATGGCAACGCCTTTGGGAACAACAAGGTAAGAGTGCTACACACTTTTGGATCAGTTGATGCCTCCATCATTCAAAGTCCATAAATCTTATTTTCTGGCCTTAATTTGTAGATATTTAAGAGGTGGAAGCTTCTGTTTGAAGTGTTTGGTATTATTTTACATCCTGAGAAGCATTCTGAGTTTGGGTCGTTTGGCTGCAGTGAAAGGCAGTGAAGGCTGTTTATCGTTTGAACTCTAATGCCTACCATACACTGGAAGCCTGTGACACAATGAAGTGTGACATCCTCTCATATCCTTCAGAATCTGAATGATTTTACAAAGACTGTGTATCGAGCAAGGGCCACTATTTAAAAGACCAAAGATTTATGTAGAGATTATTAGATTTGAAAGATGGGGTCCATGCCAGAGGCTCTTTGTTGGTAAATTAGGGTCCTCTGCATTTAAAAGTTTGGGAACCCCTGACCCTAAAGCAAGACACATTTTAAAATCAGTTCTATGTGGTGACAATGTCAGTTGATTGGAAACCCAATCAATCATTTCTGTCAGTTCTTGTATTCATATATTAGAATTTTTTTTTACCTTCAAAGGGATCCAAATAAAAAAGTGTAGAAATAAATCAAGTCTGCTTACAACAACGACTTTCATTCGGGAATAAGATGAGCACTTGTTTGATCATTCAATTGAACATTTAATGTGCAGAGTATTGATTTTTCTGTTCTTTATAAATGTTATTACCCAAAGTGCCGTTAGTCATATTCACTTTGCTCCTATTGTCCACCCAACAGTCCCCAGATCAAGAGTCAGTTTGGTTCACTATCAATGGAAATGAGAAAATCCCCAAAGGTTTTCAATTTAATATTGGAGAACTTTGTTTTAATAATCTGTGCTCATTACAACATAAATCAAACAGCTCCATGCCAACAAGTCTTCATCTCTCATTTCAAATTAAAGCTCCTGTGAGGAGTTTTATGAAACACACTGAAACTGATACTAATGCCTCTTTATGAGCTAGACAATCAAACAAGACAAGCAGCATAAAGACTGAATATTTGTGTAGTCATTTTAAAGCGTTAACCAAATGCAGAGGTGGTAGGTGTCAGAAGAGTTGTATGCCTCGAAAACTGCCTTTAAAAAAAAAAAATCTCGGAAAAGATTCTTGATGAGTGATACATTCACATGTTAGAAGAAAGCAGGATAAGATTTTACTTGCACATGTACAAGACAAAATCAGCAAAGAGATACGGTGTACTCTTTGTCCACAGGGGGGCGCCAAAACTGACACAACTCACTCAGAGGAGCTTTAAAAAGAAAAGTGATTCCTTGATTAAAACCCAGCTGCTTGTTTTCCAGGTGTCATGGAGTTTGACTCAGCAGCATGACAGGAAGCTGGCTGCCTGGCACAACCGCAAGAAGACCCGCCTCACGTATCAGATGACTGGTAACAAAGTAGCTGTCGCCGTGGACTACGGGGCTGGCACCATCACCTTCTCTGAGGTGGGACCATCCAGCAACCTCACCCACATCCACACCTTCTCCACCGCCTTCACTCAGCCGGCGTGTTTGGGCTTCGGACTCTACAAAGCTGAGCTCAACAGCCACATCTCAATCGTCAAAGTCTGAGGACGGGGAATGGAAAATAGCGAGGAAGATTTTTTAAAAAGTAAACGTCTTGTTGGTTCACAAAGTCCTACCAAGACAAAGTGGCATTGATTCCTATCTCCACGTCAGGAACCTTGTTGGTGGCAGTTCTCAATGACACTCTTTGGTGTTTCTCCGGCTGAGCTCAGCTTCTTCCTCCATAATGACACAAAACTGTATAACTCTTTCATCTGTGATCAGGAGATTCTGACATTGAAATTATGTCTTAACAGAGAAATGTGAGAAAAGAACACGTGAAAAGCAGCTTAGTGGACCAAGGCAGGACCACACACACAGAAGAAACAACATGACTCCAACTTTTTTTGTGCTTTCTTTCTATCTGTGTCAATTAAAATGTGATTGAAATCTGGTCAAATAACAGATGGCTGAAATGTTGTTTTCTTTGCATACCAGGTCGACTTCTTGTCTGTTTTCTTTCAAACATTACACCACATCATTCTTTTAAAGAAGCACTGCACTACCTCAGTTTGTCTGAAAGCTACATGTTTTAAATGCTGGATCATGTTTTTAGCCATTAGCTGTATCTTATTCATTAGACTGTTGTGAGTGTTCCGATTGAACATTGAAATAGTGTATACAAAGAGAAGTGTATACATGCAGTGAATGCAGCCAGTTGTCTGCTGTAGTGTCTTATCACAGAAGCTTATTAGTTATTTAAAGCATTAAAGGTGTACAAAGTGTTTTCCCATTGAGGTTTGATCCTTATTACCTCAGCCTGAAAACACACACGAGTGACTCATTAAATCTATTGGACACTTTGAAAATAAGAGAATAAAACATCTGCCACTCACGCATTAGCTTTGCTCTTTGATGCAGCTCAGAAACCCAATTATCTTCTCTTCGTTTTTCCTTTACTTCACTGTAAAGGTGAGTGGGTGGTAGTAACATAGAGGGTGAGAAAGAAGCAGGAGGAGAGGAGGGTGTTGCTGCGAGAGAGAGAGAGAGAGAGAGAGATAGATAGATCAGAGCAGACGCTGGCTCGGTGGTGATCATACTGACTGCCATGCTTTGAAATATGTGATAGAGGAGCAATAATACAGAGGTTTCAACCAAATGTCAGCTGGAAGGAATCTGCGGTTCTCCCCTGATATGGAATACAAGTCTTCTCAGAGGGAAACAGGTGATCATCCTTTTTTTTTTAATTCAGGCTTTTTCTGCTCAGGGGTAGTAGTGTCATTTTAGGACATTAGTTTTGACCTGAGTAAGTGATCGGTTTCCCATAATGCCATGTCTTCTTTTATTTATGAGCAGATGTATTAGTGTGTGATGGAATATGTTTTCTTAAATCTGAAAAAGACCTTTTCATACAGGCTGTTACTCGTCTTTGTTAAAGATAAATGAATGTTTTTTTTTTTTTTAAATGATTTATTGTTTTTAACTCGGGAGCATCATGTGAGGTCACATTTCATCTTTCAGTTCTTGATTTAAACGACAAACCCAGAGAAATTAGAGATGAAATGGAAAAAGTGATAATTTCTGTGTAACGGATGTATGTGCATGCATAAGTGTGAAATGTGTGTGTGTGTGTGTGCGCGCATGTGCATTTGTGTGTGTATTGTGTGTGTATTGTGTGAGGGAATGCGTATTGAGCAGCGTTGGTAGGGAGGAGGGGATACGTGTAAAAGACAGATGGTCACTCAGTGGAGTTGTTCCCCCTCTCCCACTCTGTTTCTCACTCCCTCCTGGGTCCGACATCTTTTCCCTGTCACCTCTCCAGACTCTTACCTCAACTGTTTGTTTTTCCTCACCTCTCCTCAAAATGGTTTTTTTTTTAATTATCTTTTCCTCTTTCTCTCTATCTTTAAACTCTTTACTCACTTTTCTGCACTTTTCTCTCTCCATCCCTTTCTTTCTTCCAGCTTCATCTCTTCGGCCCTCGTGTCAGGCTTTATGCTGATGGTACCGGTTTGAAAATACCAGGAGGGGCTTTTTGGAGTGATTGTCACTCTGGACCCTGCTGTCACAGCACACAGGACACCAGGGGGATTTGGGATTTGAAGGGTCAAAAAAGAGCAATAGATAACTGACAGCTACATCCAATACACAGTTCTGTGTTTTATCCAAGTACCATTCGATATTGAGACCCATCTAGCTGGTTTTTCAGTTTCCTGAGTGGACTTCATCAACTATCCAAAAAGAAAGTTAAACTTTGGAGAATTTTCAATTTTTTCTTCACCATAGCATGTGTGCTTTTATCTCAAGTTGTCCGAAGTGACATTTCTTTAAAGTAAAATCAATCTAAGAAATTAAACAGAGTATTCCAGATCCAGTCATGCATCCCAGGTTACTCCTCCCGCACCTCCCCGTCCTCCTCGTCCTCCTCCTGCTGATGTGGGGGCCGATGGAGTCCGTGAGCCAGAATGACACAGAGCCCATCATCCTGGAGGGGAAATGTTTGGTCGTATGCGACTCCACTCCTTCCTCCGAGCCCTCTGGTAACGCTCTAGGCATGTCGGTCCGCTCCGGCTCGGGCAGGGTCGCCTTCTCTGCCAGCCGTCAGACCAACCACGAGCCCACAGACATGAGCAACCGCACCATGATCATCTACTTTGATAACGTGAGTATTGAACTGCTGATGGTTGTCTGTCACTGACTACTTGAAACATTTCATATACATTTTTTTGGTTTCGTCTTATTCCTCCACCTTTTAAAAAGTCTTCTCCATAAAGCTTCTTAAATCTGTTTTTCATAAAGAGTGTTCTGCCAATAAGATGCACATACCATTAGAGCTCTGAAGAATGATAATGGGGTAAACACTGACCTGGGAGAGGGCTGCATCTTCACCCACTTTTGGTCTTCTTTTGGAAATGGAAATGTAAAAAGATCATATTTAGGGAGAGTCTTAACCACTGATTCTAGTGACCCTATTTTCATATATGTTTTGTTATCTCTTGACAATAACCTCACTGTTCATCACCACTCATCTTTGGATTGTTTTCTTTCCAAACCTTCTAAACACAGTATAGTCTTTATGTGGATATCACCCATCATCTTGCCTTTCTTCTCCCTCCGTATTGCTTGCAGATTTTGGTGAACGTGGGAACCCATTTTGACCAAGAGAGCAGCGTCTTCCTGGCACCGAGAAGAGGCGTCTACAGCTTCAACTTCCATGTTGTAAAGGCTTACAACAGACAAACTATTCAGGTACTAAACCTCAACTACGACACCTTTTTTTTAAACTATGTCAACTTGCAAGTTTTCATCCCTTGTCCATCTTGGATCCCGGCAGATGGCTGTCACCCAATGAGTCTGGTCCTGGTCCAGTTTTCGACCTATTAAAAGGGACTTTACTGTCTTTAAGTGCTTGCTCATTTGTGGATAAATGTTTGGTCTCTCTAAATAATATATCAAAGAGCATGCCCTGCTTTTTGTAAAGATAACTTGTTACATTTTGGAGCTATATAAATGGATTGATCTATTGGTTGATTTGCTGTTTTACAGGTCAGTCTGATGCTGAATGGCTGGCCAATGATTTCAGCATTCGCCGGGGACCAGGACGTGACCAGAGAAGCAGCCACTAACGCCGGCCTGGTGATCATGGAGAAGGGGGACAAAGCCTACCTGAGACTGGAGAGAGGGAACCTGATGGGAGGCTGGAAGTACTCCACCTTCTCTGGGTTCCTTGTCTTCCCCTTGTGAGGAAAAGTTGGAGGGGGGGGGGGGGGGGTGATAGAAAGAGAATAGGTGAGAATGAGCAGGCAAAGCTTCAATCCGAGCCTCTTTATACAATGCATGAAGGGATGTGTTTTATGCAAAGTGAGATCAACAGAATTCTCATATGAGGCTAAAATAAAAGAAAGGTTGGAGAAGTGATCAGTGAACACGATTTATCTGTGGATTTCATTTGCTCTGTTTCTGTGTATAAATATATACTTGTCGGGTTTCCATAAGAGATAATTTAATTGTGACAAAAATATAAAGTAGCCATGTGCAATGTGGGCTTCTGTGCTAAGATGCTTTTATTTTTTTCACGGACATGTTTGAAACACGGCTGCGCTCCACATGGCCTCCTGTCTAGCAAACAAACTTTCCCTTTAATTCGATTGTGTTGTACGACTGATGCTCCTGTATATGCCTGTTCTTCTCCCGCAAAAATAATGTTTATTTACACAGAAATTTATATTGAGGAGAAAATATCGAAATAAAATCATATAAAGTTGGCTTTGTTTTTTCAGCATTTTACATTAAGTGACAAATATTCATTTCCATAATGAGCCAAGGAAATATTTTATGAATCACACCTAGATTAAAATCCAGAAATCACTGGGGTGATTGTGAAATATGTTGTGACAGTTTAATCTGCTCATGTAAATGAGTGTTCCTCCCTCCTCTCATGATTCTCAGTGCCTCGGCAGCTGTTTGTAAATATAGCTCTCACCAGCAGAGTTGGCGTTGGCGTGGACCGAGCAGAGCAGCGTGGAGCAGCGAGTGAGTGTGGAGGATAGCGGATACTCCTCGCAGGGCCACAGACAGATGGAGGCTCTGGCGAGCAGGCAGGTTCCTCTCTGCAGGGCTGCAATGGATAAAGTGCGGAGCCCTGTCACAGGCGGTCACTCACGCTTCTCTGCTTCATGGCCACTATCTCGGGCTGATACCAGAATCACATTTTTATGATTTAAGGAGACTAGAGAATTCCTGCAAATTGAGAAGCATGACATTAATTCATTGTGTCACATTAATGCACCAACTGAAGAAACGGTATGTCAATAGAAGGGAGACTGAAGTGTGGGCTGTTCTTTTCAAAGTTCCTTTATAGAAAAATCAGGTCCTTTCATGTCTGTTTTATATATTTTTAAAGCTATAAAGGCCGACTGTCATCCCTGAAAAAGACTTCTATTAAAGCTGAGAAGAAAAAAACAGTTATTATGTTAAAAAAGGTAAGGTAGGGGCTTCGTATCAAGTCCAAGACAGCAGGAGAATGCTGGTTTCTTGTTCTTCATTTGATTTGTGGTATTATTATTAATTGTACTTTTTGTTTTGGATATTTCACAACTCAAATACAATTCAATTCAATTCAATTCAATTTATTTTGTATAGCGTCAACTCATAACAAGTGTTATCTCAAGACACTTTACAAAAAGCAGGTAAAAGACCTTACTTTTTGCTATAATACAAAGACCCGGCCTATCCATCATGAGCACTGCCTTATTAAAAGGCAGAGATCTTTGGCTGGATCCCCGGCTCATGATAAAACAGCCTTCACAGGCCTAGACTGTGCCGGGGTTGGAAAGGGATAGGGGGAGAGATGGGATAAGATGCAGGAAGAGGGATAGGGAGCAAGGGTCCATCAACAATCCGGTGGGGGGGGGGGGGGTACAGTATACAGTATTAACTGATATGGGCAACCTTATAGGCTCAATTCCCTGAGCCTCTGTCTTTAACAAATGTCCTCTATTTGAAAAGTGTTTTTACTTTATTTAATGTTCATTTCTTTTCCATGATATGATTTTTAAACATAATTCTGACAGGGTAGGTTGACACACCGACACAAGTAAAAAAAACAAAAAAAAACGGGAGCGTATTTTTGACTATGCATCCCATAACTGGATAATCTGTCCATTCTTAAAATAAGCTCTGAAAGTAGAGCCCAAACCCATAATAATCATGTTTCACACTAAGGTCGATAGAGGGCGCCAAACCCCAGACTGACAGAGCTGCGTCCCCGCGGCCAGCACACGAGCATCTCCTTGACATCGAAACTAGAGCCCTTATTAATAACTCAGGTTTTAATAATGATCAACAATAATCACGGAAATTCGCCTTGAATGTACCTACTGGATTAGGATGTGTATTTGATAAATAATGTAGTCAGTATCATAAGTTGAAGGTGATAACTGAGCGGTGGACAATGTAATGAAACCCTGAAAAAACTGCCAGTGTCTTTCACTAACAGGCCTCTTTTGTTGCTCACTTTATACTATTTTGAGATCATCTAAACGCCGTCTGCTTTTCTTCAGTCAGCGTTAAAACGAGTGTGCTCCCTAATATGAGCATCTATGTCTGTAAAAAAAAAACAGCGATGTACCAGATCATTCAGTCAAACGATCCCAGCTAGGCCGCATTTATTGTTTTCTCAACCTAACTACGTCTCGCATCCCGCCCAGCAGCGACCGCTCACAAGAACGACAGTTCAAGCAGCCAATAAAAGGGCCGCATGCTGCCGGCCTGGGGGGAACGGACCAATCAGCGTCCGAGAGCCTCCGAGGGGCACGCTTTCTACGCTCTCTCTGGCAAGAATGTTAGTTCCTGCTCTTCCCTGGCCGTTTCCTGTAATCGTACAGTGTTGTGAGACGGAGAAAGCCATGTGTGTCGATGCAAAGGTAAATTTAGCACCCCCAAATTATTACTGTGAGAGTTAGGGCAGTGAATATGATGGTTATTTTCAGGTATTTTTGCTGAAAAACAGGCGCAGACCAGGCGAAACAGTATTGCGGCCTAAGCTGTGTCTGAACGTTGACGGGCGATGGTTATTGTGGCACGTTGCTTTGGTTTGGTCCGGTTTGTTGATGAGATTGAAGGAGTCCAGTGGACTGAATGGTTGGTAGTAAATCACAGAGAAGAAATGTAACGATAAAAACATACAATTTACCGTGTTGTTCAGCCTGACTCGCACACAGGCTTTAGTAACAGACACATCTTTGTGGCGGGTCGAGCTAATGCTAGCTGACGGGTTTAGAGAGCAAAGACTGCAACAAGCGAGCAGAGAGAGAAGCATCCTGTCCCTCCAGCATCAGTACCCTGCACGTCCCACCTCACAGGGTCTCTCCTGGGTCGTCTAACTTCTTGTACTTCAATGAAAACTCCCTTATTTCACATTAAATCATCTCCGTAGCCTTCTTCTGTCGCATAGAAACCCTTTTCTGATCACGGGTTGCCAAGAGTTTGATATTAATCTCTTCTTTAATAATTCAGGAACATTTTATTAGTTTACTTGAGGTTGTATGTCATTTAAACTTATTTATTTTGCTCAACTAATCAAATGAGTTGATGAATCTAGACACAACTCTTCATGATTTAATATTATGTTGTGTTTTGTTTGGGTGGAAATGTGGAGCAGAGACAGAAACAAGTTGTTGTTTTTTTTTTACCACTTATGACAAGGTTTTGGATTGTCTGTGCTCTCTTGTTTAAAAATGTTTTTACTGAACATTAAAGGCACGTTGAGTCACATTGCATTGTAGTTGTTGTACAGGTTTTAATCGAAACTTTATCACAAGCAGTACAGCAGTTGTGTAAATAATCTGAATGTGCTTCACTGACGTATTATCCTTCTTCTTTTTTTTTTCCACCCCCCCTGTTGCCAGCTTTTCATTTAAAAGTTGAGACGAACTGGACTGCAACTGTTAGTTTCCATCTCAGAGTTCCTCTAAGACTGCGCCTGTCTCCCTGTGTGGAGTGGGCAAGATGGCAGATCCGATCATGGACCTCTTTGAGGACACGCCCCTGTTTAACCTGGATGCCCTACCGGACGACTCCTTCACTCAGGGCTCCTCGGACCCTGTGGAGGAGGCTCTTAAGCTGGCATTGGGCCACGTAGACCCACCGGCTGAACCCGAGCTCACAGTCAACACGGGCCCTAATGCTCCTGCAGTAGCTCCTGTTATCCCTGCCCCTGTCCCTGTCCCTGTCCCTGTCCCCGTCCCCGTCCCCGTCCCCACACAGCAGCCAGTACCAGTGGTGACTGCTCAGACTGTTTCCATAGCAGCAGCTCCCACTGTAGCCACCATCCCTGTTGATACTGTGCCTCAGATCCAGGCCCATACCACCATACCTATTGTCAGCAACCCCAGTGTGGTCCCAAGTAGCACTGTCCTCCTAAGCTCACTGACTGTTTCTAGCCCCTCGGTCACCACCACCACTGCCACCACGCCGCACCTCACACAGATAACCCATCAGCTCACTCCTCAGCAGCTAGCCGCCATCACACAGCAGGCTGGGGGGAAAATCGTCATTCTCAAAGGTCCCCAAGGTCAGGCCCAGGTCCTGCAGACTGTTTCGGGAGCTGCAGGCCAAACTGGTGGAAAGGTCATCCGTGTGTTGTCTGGTACACCTCTTAAACCTGGCATGTCCATTCTGCAAGGGGGGCCGTCTTAAATCAGGCAAGCCAAGGACAAGCTCAAGTCAAGATGTCTGCTGCCGGGGTGCAGAGGCTGATACAGTCTCCCAACGGACCGGTGAAACAGATGCTGCTGACCTCCATGCCTCAGCAGGGTCAAGGCCAGCAGGTTCAGGTGCAGATCCCAGCTCAGGCACAGATTGCACAAGGCCAGACTCAAGTCCAGGTTCAGCCCCAGACAACTCAGATCCAGGTCCAGACTCAGGGCCAGGTGCAGCTGCAGCCAGCGATGACGGCCCAAACACAGGTAATCACCAATATTGCATGAGCAAGTTGTAACCCTGACAGCTGCACCTCAGTAGGTGACTCTGGATGGTTTTAAGGTGCACTCACACTAGGAAATCCATTCTGTGCCTAAGCCACTTCACCCCAGTAGTCCAGTTCATTTGACTAGTATGAGTGCTCTGATGCGTGCTCAACCATTCCTTCCATTATGGAGAAATCCCAGAGTGTTATGGCTGTATCTGACTAAGATGACTCAAAATTAGCTGTCATGTTCTCTGTGTTGTTTTCCATGCAGACGTGGACTTAACCAAGC